ATTAAGATTCATAAATTGCAATTGTTTGGTTTCTCTTATATTTAATTTAATATATAGCTTTCTCACCTTCCCTGTTTCTTTCTGGAAAATTTCTCTGTGTAAGAAGGGGAAGGTCTTTTTTCCAAAAGAACCGGGGAGTTTACATTGTGTTGATAAACATTCCCATGGTGTCATTTCATCTGCTCTTCCAGTTCCAGTGTTTTGTGTGAAGTTATATTTAAGTAGAGGCTTGATGTGATTCTGTTTAACTATTTGGTGGGAATACATCATAGGTTCAGCTATAAACTTCCCTCAGAAGGCACATAATGTTTGGTTGTCTCTCTTTCTTTGAAATTAATCAACATTAATGATGGCCTAAATTTCATTTAGGGTCAGAAGTGATGACATCAAATTCTATCATTCTTTCCTTATTTATTAGATGGAAAAGTCCTATAAAAAGAAAGTTCCCTCCAACCATTCTCTCATTTCCATGAGAAGACAAGATAAATGTTTGATTCTTTCCCTTTATTTGTCAATGTACAAAATAAGAAGATGCTTTCCTAGCACACTCCCAAGGGAGCAATTGACTATTTAAGCAGAGGGCCTTGTTATGAACTCATGTATTTTAAGATATCTGATGTATTTTGATTCATTGGAGTTATTACTGATGCTCACATTGCCCCATCCATATCCAGTTGCATTCTCTTGAGGTTGGCTCTTAAGTCCTTTCCATAAGATCCCTGTGATTTTTGAGACCATCCTGGCTTTCTTGTTGACAAGAGAGTGAAGGCTCAACTGAAGCATTTTATGCCTATTCCTAGAATCAGTAGTTTATTTATAAAACCCTAACTTTTGTAGGAAATGGCATTTGAAAAACACACTCTAGGTACTAAGGGTGGCCATTGTCACTGGGCTCATTATTATCTCTATGTCTTTTCAATGGACTTCAAAACTGCACACACACACCCAAGAATAGGATTTTTTGAAACCAATTTTATAGTTTTTCAGGTTATTTTTAAAAAAATTTAAGTTAATACTACTAAAACTGGACAACGAAATTATTGCTTTTTTAAGTGAAATTATTTCTTGGAAAAATTTCTTATATGGCTCATAAACCCCACAATATACAATTAGATTTATTTGCCATTTGCTATTGCTTTAATATTTTGAATAATAATTTTCCTTGTGTAATTATGAAACTACCTACATGGTTTCAAGATAAAATCCATGAAATCTTAGTGTAACCAAGAAATCCAGTTTCCAGCTTCCCTACTTTTTCTCTTTACCCTGCTTCTCCCATCCCCATAAAAATAAATTTTTGTTGGTTTAGTTTTCAGAGTATCCTGCCATTGCCTTTTGATATATATGAAAAAGATATGTGTTATATTTTATATATATAGTGCATATTCCTCCTTATTAGAGAAATGGGAGGCAAACTCTACATTATTTTCTTCACTTTCTTTTTTCCACTTAATGATAAAATAGTCCTTCACTATCCTATCTAATAAAAGAGAAACATGGTAATTAGCGTACGTCCGCTACCCTTCCCATTGGCTAATCAGGGTGATATGCAAATTAACTGCCAGCCAAGATGGCGGCCGGCAGCCAGGCAGCTTGAAGCTAACATGAGGCTTGCTTGCTTCAGTGACGGAGGAAACCAACTTTCCCCACCTGCTGCTGCCGGCCTCTGAGCTTGCAGTTTGAAACATTGTAACAAATATAGAAGCTAAACAAAACCCCAGAAACCCACTTTCAGCCAGCCGGGATCTCAGAGCTGGAGTTGATACAGTGTTTCGATTATAGAACCCAAACAAACCAGATACCTGCTTTCAGCAGCAGAGGCCTCAGAGCTGGAGCCAGAGCTAAAGCTGGCCCAGAATGAAAGAAAAAAAGGAGCAGTTGGGAGCTTCAGTCACCTGCCAGCCTGAAAACAGCCCTCAGCCCCTCACCCAGACTGGCCAGGCACCCCAGTGGGGACCCCAACCCTGAAGGGTGTGTGACCAGCTGCAAACAGCCATCATCCCCACACCCAGGCTGGCCAGGCACCCCAGTGGGGACCCCCACCCTGATCAAGGACACCCTTCAGGGCAAACCAGCTGGCCCCCACCCATGCACCAGGCCTCTATCCTATATAGTAAAAGGGTAATATGCCTCCTAGCACCGGGATCAGCGGAGCCACGAGGCCTCCCGGCACCAGGATCAGCATGACAGGGGGCAGCGACCAAACCCCCTGATTGCCCTGTTGCTCTGTGTGTGACAGGAGGCGGGCCACAACCTCTCTATCCGCCCTGCTCTGTTCGTGACAAGGGAAGGCGCCCCAACCCCCTGATCAGCCCTGCTCTGTGCCTGATAGGGGGGAGCTCCCCAACCCCCTGATCGCCCTGCGGCTCTGTGTGTGACAGGGCGGGGCCACAACCTCCCTATCTGCCCTGCTCTGTTCATGACAGGGGAAGGCGCCCCAACCCCCTGATCAGCCCTGCTCTGTGCCTGATAGGGGGGAGCTCCCCAACCCCCTGATCGCCCTGCGGCTCTGTGTGTGACAGGGGGCGGGGCCACAACCTCCCTATCCGCCCTGCTCTGTTCGTGACAGGGGAAGGCGCCCCAACCCCCTGATCAGCCCTGCTCTGTGCCTGATAGGGGGGAGCTCCCCAATCCCCTGATTGCCCTGCGGCTCTGTGTGTGACAGGGGGCGGGGCCAAAACCTCCCTATCCGCCCTGCACTGTTCATGACAGGGGAAGGCGCCCCAACCCCCTGATCAGCCCTGCTCTGTGCCTGATAGGGGGGAGCTCCCCAATCCCCTGATCGCCCTGCGGCTCTGTGTGTGACAGGGGGCAGGGCCACAACCTCCCTATCCGCCCTGCTCTGTTCGTGACAGGGGAAGGCGCCCCAACCCCCTGATCAGCCCTGCTCTGTGCCTGATAGGGGGGAGCTCCCCAATCCCCTGATTGCCCTGCGGCTCTGTGAGTGACAGGGGGCGGGGCCACAACCTCCCTATCCGCCCTGCTCTGTTCGTGACAGGGGAAGGCACCCCAACCCCCTGATCAGCCCTGCTCTGTGCCTGATAGGGGGGAGCTCCCCAATCCCCTGATTGCCCTGCGGCTCTGTGAGTGACAGGGGGCGGGGCCACAACCTCCCTATCCGACCTACTCTGTTTGTGACAGGGGAAGGCACCCCAACCCCCTGATCAGCCCTCCTCTGTGCCTGATAGTGTGAATATATCTTAGGTAATTCAACCAGTCCCTATTGTAGACTATTTTAGGTTTTTGGTCTTTTGCAATTATAAATAATGATGCAATAAATAGCCTTATGTGCCATTTTTCCATATTTTTGACAGTGTAGTTTTGGGATAAATATTAAAATGGAGGATTGACAATGAATGAGAAAATGCATATGTACTTTCATAGGACAGTGCTGTCCTCTCTACTGTAGGGTTTGGACTGTTTTACCATCCTCACCAGCCATGCAGGAGAGGACCTGCTTCCCTCATACCTCTATGCTAGCAAACCACACTCTAGGTACTAGATTATGCTAGCAAACATTTGGACTTTTGCCAAACATGAAGGTGTCACATAGTATTTCACCTCAGAAATAGAGATGTAATTGAATTAAGATTTTTAGTGATTTTATTTTTGTGTTTTATTTTTCTCTGAGTGTATGTTAATGTCTTTTGATATATTCCAGGTACATTTAAATTCCTTTTTTCTCTGAATGTTTATTCCCATCTCTCTTTTTTTAAAAAAATATTTTTATTTATTTCAGAGAGGAAGGGTGAGGAAGAGGGAG